ACTGAGCTTCTATCTACCGTGTGTCTCTTGCTGAGCTGGGTGCCGTGGGAGATGGAGGATGCAACAAAGTGTAAAAAGTGGGCAGAGCTGACCCTGGACCATTTACATTTATCTGGGGAAAGAGCTCTCCAGGTCTCCAGGTGTGTAAAACAGGACACATCGGGTGTCAAATGATCTTGGGATTCAGAAAAGACAGGCCAAGGCACGGCGCTGTTGGCAGAAGGGGTCCACACAGGGAAGAAGAGAAGCCCCCTGTAGCCCAGCCTTTTACACCGACCTCACTCAGTCTTCTAGAACAGATGTGATGAGCGCTGCTGACCCTCCAGCCTTAGCCTCTCAATGTGCTTCAGAGAACGTCCAACAGGAAGGCTGGCTTCTCTGGGCCTGAGGGCTTTCTCCAGTGCCGGCGCTTTCCAGAGGAGCTACACAATGAACACTGGCTGGGAAACTCACACCCTCTGTGGAGCAGCCTTCAGGGACTGAGAGGAGTTGGAGTGTGCACACCCCAGCCCCACCCCGGGAGGATTGTTTTTGAGGTGCGTGTTTTACACTCTTCCAACGGCTTCCCCCTTGGGATGAAGCTGCAGCTGCCCATTGTGTTGACTGGCTGACCATAGCCCCTTTAGCGGTTGCTTCCCCTCCCCTTATCACCACCCACCCCTCTCCCCGCCCCCCCCCCCCCCCCCCACCCCCACCCCTCTCCCGGGCCTCTCCCCCTGGGTTTACCTTCCTCCCCCCACTGGCCCCACCCCTGTCCCGGGTTCTCCCTGGTTTACCTCCTCCCCACTGCCCACCCCCCTCCCGGGCTCTCCCTGGTTTACCTCCTCCCCACTGCCCACCCCTGTCCCGGGTTCTCCCTGGTTTACCTCCTCCCCACTGCCCACCCCTCTCCCGGGCTCTCCCTGGTTTACCTCCCTTCCCCACTGCCCACCCCTCTCCCGGGTTCTCCCTGGTTTACCTCCTCCCCACTGCCCACCCCTCTCCCAGGCTCTCCCTGGTTTACCTCCTCCCCAGTAAACTTGCACTCACATCCTTGTCTCAGGGGCTGCTTCTGACAAAACTCAAATGAAGACATCCCCCTATTTCCCGTGACTGGATTAATATTGTACCCATTTGACTCATGAGAAAACTAAGACTCAGACTAATTATCTGGTCTGAGGTCACATAGCAAGCATGTGATTGTCCTCGGGCTTGACCTCACATCCCTCTGTACCACCGCACCTGTCCTTGTAGCATACTGAGAGAAGTGTACACATAAGCACGTCGCTGGATCCCAGGGACACTGCTCACCCTGACTCCCACCTCTGCCCCACTCAGGAAACTGGGATTTTCTCCTGTCTCGGCCGCCCGAGTAACTGGGATTACAGGCCTGCGCCTCCACGCCCGGCTAATTTTCTATTTTTAGTAGAGATGGGGTTTCTCCATGTTGGTCAGGCTGGACTCAAACTCCTGACCTCAGGTGATGTGCCCACCTCGGCCTCCCAAAGTGTTGGGATTATAGACATGAGCCACAGCATCTGGCCCTAAGTAGAAATCTTATACTCCACGTGGGCCTGAAGTGCAAGCCAAGAAATAGGTAGCTACCCTTGCTGGTACGTGGAATTGCTGAGAAAGTGTTAGCTGTACATTGTTCATCCAGATCCATAGAAAACAGCTTTTACAAGCACAGTCCCAACTTTTGGCAATTTTTGCAAATCATTTGGGTTAAGGTAACATGCAGCTATTGTGTTGGGGTAAGTGTGAGTGTGTGGCTGGATGTGAAATTTTACTGACAACCAAACCACAGCTGGGAAACTTGAAAGTGTTGTTGTCAAGGCTCAGGGAGCTGTCGGTAAACCCAGGTACAGTTTTGGCTCAGTTAAGAGGTAACTCGATCCAAGTTTTGAACAAGATGGAATTATCACCAGCAGGGGCAGATGGATGGGGTAAATCACATGAAATCAGCCTAAACTTATTAAAAGCCGACCGCAAAGCTTCTTCCATTTATGTCCAGTGTTCTAGTTATCTATTGCCGGATAATAAATCACCTGAACGTGTGAGTCAAGAATTCAGGCAGGGCTTGGCTGAGAGATTCTGTTCCACAAAGCATCCACCAAGGTTATTCACAAGTATTCAGCCGGCAGATGGGCTGGTCTGAAGGGTCTGTGACGGCTTCACTCACATGTCAGGCACATTGGTGGACATGGCTAGAAGGCTGGGCTTGATGGGGACTGTTGATCAGAGAACCTATCCATACATGGTCTGTCCAGCCTGGTGGCCTCAGGGCAGTTGGACTTCTTACACAGCAGCTCAGTGCTCCAAAAACAAGTGCACAGTGAACAACCTGGAAGCCACATGGTTTTTTATGACCTGGCTTTGAAATCACACAGTGTCACTTCTGCTGTGCTGCTTGTCCAAGTGGTCACGAGCCCAACCAGATTCAAGGGAAGGGACTTAGATCCAACCTCTCAGTGGTAGGAGTGTGTAAAAGTACAACATCCAGATTGGGTTAGAAGCAAAGAAGGGGCCAGGCATGGTGGCTCACACCTGTCATCGCAGCACTTGGGAGGCTGAGGTAGCTGGGTCACCTGCAGTCAGGAGTTCAAGACCAGCCTGGCCAACATGGCGAAACCCCGTCTCTACTAAAAATACAAAAAATTAGCCAGGCATAGTGGCAGACACCTGTAATCCCAGCTACTCTGAGGCAGGAGAATCGCTTGAACCCAGGAGGCAGAGGTTGAAGTGAGCTGAGATTGCACCACTGAACTCCAGCCTGGGCAGCAGGAATGAAACTCCATCTTAAAAAAAAAAAAAAGGGGGCCGGGCGCGGTGGCTCAAGCCTGTAATCCCAGCACTTTGGGAGGCCGAGACGGGCGGATCACGAGGTCAGGAGATCGAGACCATCCTGGCTAACATGGTGAAACCCCGTCTCTACTAAAAAATACAAAAAAAAAAAAAAAAAAAAAAACTAGCCAGGCGAGGTGGCGGGCGCCTGTAGTCCCAGCTACTCGGGAGGCTGAGGCAGGAGAATGGCGTAAACCCGGGAGGCGGAGCTTGCAGTGAGCTGAGATCCGGCCACTGCACTCCAGCCTGGGAGACAGAGCGAAACTCCGCCTCAAAAAAAAAAAAAAAAAAAAAAAGGAAGCAAAGAAGGGAAGCCACAGTTTGCAGGCTTCCTCTGAATCTGAAATTATAGTTGCAGTTGCTTTGTCCAAAGGAAGGAATTCTAAAGGGAGGGATCTGGTTGGGCTAAAATCGTTGGAAAGTCAAACCAAGTCCACACTGGATTCTACAGAAGAGCTCTTGTCCCACTGAGCTCACAGGGACACCCAGGCACCTGCTGCAGCGCCACCCTGCTCTCTGGCCTGTGCTGCCGGCTGCCCACACGGCCTGGCTTCCTGACAGCTCTGCACTCAGCCCTGCCTATCATGATGAAAGCAGCTGAGCAGTGTTTCCCTTGCTCGGGGACGCTGGTCTCCTGGAACTAAGAAAGAGGGAGGAGGCCAATGTGGGAGAGTTTGGTTGATTTGAGCAACATGCAAACCACATGGGGATCAGGAGCCTGAGAAAGAGTGCCTGGTGTTGCTCATCCCATTGAAGGCCTGCAACTGAGGTCAGGCTCCATGGGGCCCTCTCAGCAAAGCCTGCATCTCCCAAGGTAAGGCAACTCTGTGAGCCTCAATGCTGACAGTACTGTCCAATCACGGAGAAGAGGAGAATGCCACAGTCTCTCACACATACATGTACCACGGCCTGGCACAGGGTATGTCCTCAGAAGAGTCAACTGAATAAACTCATTGGTTCAATTGAATATGCTTTTCACATAATGTTTGTGCACCTTTCTTTTTTTTTTTTTTTTTTTTTTTTTGCATTTACTACATAAGAGATCTAGAAAAGGATGATAGCGGGGGCAGGGAGCTGGTAATGAAAGGAAGAGAGAGAAACGGCCTGATGCTTGGGGAAACAAGCCTCTGGCCTTGAACTATGGCCCAATCTAGTGACTGGAAGTGATCTGACCCTACAGAGAGCCCCTTGGCTAATGAGCTCTTTACTCAGAATGAGTTTGAAATGTTTGATACGATCCTAATTAAACTAATTATTTCCCTCCAAACTTGCAAACTTATATAAATAATAAATAGATGGATAGATGGAATTAACACGTATTGGGAAGGTACTATGTGGCTGACATGTCCTAGGTGCTTTCATATATGCTAATTCATCAGTCCTTACAAAACTCCAAGGAATAGATGCATTTATCCTTTTTTTTTTTTTTTTTTGGTCACATATGGAAAAAAACAGAATGAATCAAATACAAGCCCGGATTTATCTCTCTGTCTCTCTCTCTGTCTCTCTCTCTGTCTCTCTCTCTCTCTCTCTCTCAAATCCTGTTTTGAACTGCTGCTCTGCCTCTGGGGTGATTGTACAATCCCCACTCACCCCATCACATGGCCTAGAAACCTAGTAATGTGGGCTGCATCCTGACCTCCAGATCAGTCAACAAACAGGTCTCATTCTTTTTTCATCCTCAGCCTTCCTCCATCACTCGCCCTGTGTCAGGGTCCTCAGACTTTCCTCCTTCATTCCTTCATCCTGGGCTATTGAGCCAGCCTCCTGACAAGTCCTCTGTTCTACCCCTGTAGTCCATCCCTCACACTGTAACCAAAGAACGCTGAAACACAGACCTGAGCATAACAAGCCTTTTGCTCATCAAGTATCACTCACTCCCTACAACCCTACAGCCTGCAGAATAAGTGACTAACCCTTAAGCCTGGTGTTCAAGGCTTTCCGTGATCTCCTCCTGACTCCTCCTGATCAACATTTCTCATCTCATCTACCACTACTCCCTTTCCCGACGTGTTTGTTTGTTTGTTTGTTTTTGTTTTGTTTCGTTTTTTGCAAACCAGAGTCTACAAAGCTCTGAGCATTGTTCTGGAAGAGGAGAGGAGTTCTACGTAATGATTTTGAAATGTTATGTTTATGTTTCAGTGATAAAGGAAAAAATAGACAAATATGACACTCACTTTGTGATCCTGCCTCATTATTTTAATCTCTGTGTTACTTATACTTGCTTTCACAATCTTTGATGTTATTAACTATTCAGGTGACGGTTTTTAACTTTTAATGCAGAGTTTCTCAAACTGTGGTTGCAGAGCCTCCAAGAGTACAGGGATAGTTGCTCATGGGTTCTCAAGTTCTTCTCTATAGTCCAGCTGTAGTACACTGTACTTGTATGTGGATCAGATCACAAATTTCATTTTAGCCATATCCCTGCTTCATCATCTTTACTTGTGTTCTTCTTTTGGTTTAGAATGCCTTTCCACATTCTACATACTCAGCTCCTACCCAGCCCCATTTCCAAGCTTCTTCATGCATATCACTAGGGATAGCCCTGCTGTAGATCTCCAGATGCAAAGATTCTCTGAGTTGGAATGGGCATTGTAGATCATAGGCTATTGTTCTCATCTTACAGTTAGAAAAACCTAGGCGCAGAAAATGGAAGTAACAAACCAAGTCTAGAATCCAGGCCTCCTGACATCTTATATGGTGTTCTGTTCACATCTTGCAACATGCTGCACACTCCTCTTAAAGTTTTATCATCCATTTTTGCATTGAGTGGCTGGAAGGGCTGCATGCAGAGTAAATCCTTAGCTTCCCTACAACCATAACTGACAGGGCCATAAAACCACAGTAATTACCTGACATGTTCATATGTCTGAAGCACTATAATAGAATATCCCAAGAGATCTGAATGCTGGAAGCACTTTGCATTTTTGCACTGGACAATGGAGGCTGCTCCAATTAATGTCAATCAGACTTACTCACTCCAGAGAAGTCCAAAATTATATGCTGATTTATTGAACTTACCATAATGTTCCAAAATTGATTTTTTAACATTTTTGCAAACTAAGATATTATAGAGAGGCAATATAGCAATTAGTTCAATGTTCTGAACTTAGTAGATACTCAGTAAAGGTGAGCTGAATGAATGGATGCCCCATAGGCTGGGAGCCAAGACACCTGAGTTCCAGTCTCATTCTTCTACTAATAGGCCATGGGGGCTTGGGAAAATTCCCTCACTAAGCTTCAGTCTACTCATCTGTAAAATGAGGTATTTGGAGCAATCCAATTTTATCTTCCTGAGATAAGTCCCTTACAGTCCTAAAATTCTACAATTTTGTGAAAATGATAAATCCATTTATACTATTGGTGTCAAAGGAAAAGAAAAATATTATAATTTATTAACTATTCTAATTTTATGCTCCATTGCTTCTTTCATGCATCATTATAGGTGTTTTCAGAACCATTACATAGTTGAGTTATCATGACTAACTTTTGAGGAAAATACTATTACATTCTGCCTCTACATTTGGGAAAACAAATTTTATTAACTTGAGAAGACTTCAACTTCCAGTCTTGATAGAATTACTACTCTTCTCAGACACTGGGAAATTGCAAAACTGTAATCTGTGAGAGAATGCATCAATGAGGTGAGACCTGAAATAACCCTAGCTTTATGCTTGGAGGCAATTTCCAGTCCACGAGTACAGTCCAGTAGCTTCACTAAGTTGAGGAGACAGAGATCTGTCTACAGACCTGAGGCAGCTAGGAGTTGAGGGTCACAATTTTTGAAAGGAGGGAGACACACAGAAAAATAACACCATAAGTCTACTGAGATATTTTCCTGAGTCTTTGCTGAGTATTCAACTATATGTGTGTAAAGTGAAACTCTACATGACCAGGGAAGATAAATGACAGAAGAATTGTAAGCTGAACAATCTAAAGCTCTCAAAATGTAAGGCCATCACTGTGCATCAGCCAGCCAAAGTGGAGAGTCCTTGGTGATCCCTTGGGACATTCAGTGAAGAGCCCAGATAAATCACACTTGAGTAAAAAGGCTGACTTATTCCTGGAGTGAAGGTTACTCTAGACTCTCCATAGCAAAATGTAAAGCCAGGATTCAAAGATGTCAAACTGATCCATGTGTAACTTAACTGTCTGCTGAAATAAAGCCCAAACAAAGCCAAAACCAAGATTTTTTTTAAAAAAAGAAGACAACAAAGTCCAAATACTTAATGATAGAATATTACAATGTCTGCCATCTAACAAAAAATTACTAGACATATAAAGAAGCAGAAAAATGGTGACCCATAATCAAGAGAAAAATCAGTCAATAGAAACAGACCTATAAATGACAGAGATGATGTACGAGTATTTAAGTGACTTGACAAGACCCATCAGTAGGGAGTGCAAATTCAAACCCAGGTCTCCCGGCACTTTCATTTAGTGCTCTTTTCATTGCCTGTGCTCACCAGTCTCTCTGTATGTGTGGACATTTATAGGGTTTTACTATGACAATCCCAGTGCAATTTTCCTATGCTTCTGGTCTGCAATTTGGTTACAATGGCTGAGAAGCCTGCAGAGGTAGCCACAGATATGAAACCACAAAGGCCAGTCTCTGATCAGGAATAAGCACTGACCATCCTCATAGACAAAATTTCAACAATGCTGAAACAGAACTCAATTGTGTCTCTTCCCCTTCCCCCACTATAGAACTTTCATGGGAATTACCCATGGCCATTACCACGTGGCCACTCCTGGTCACATCTCTGGTCAGAAGGTCTCTCCTCCCCAAGGGCTGCAGCTTAAGGGAACATGAAAATCAGTGTGTGAACAATGGGAGCATGCACCAGGAAACCAGCCCTCAGCTTCAGCCCTGATTGGCAAAAACTTAAGCAAGGGGTAAATGGAAACAGAAAGCATCACAGGAGGCTGTCAGCCTGCAGAAAGGTGCAAGTCCCACTGCCAATGCTGGGAGTATATTCATGTGTGCGCTGCCTACAAGTGTTTGTGAGAGAATAGTGACACAGAGTCACTCCCCAGGCTGGGGGTACAGTTTTCCTCCCTGCAATTTACTACACAAGTTGTTACCAAAGCAAATATCAAAGCCCTGCAATTTGCTAATTATAGGCGGGATCCTGGGCTTGTGGGCCCAATTAACCACTTGTTCCTCATTTTCGGTGTATGACCGGCGGACTGCACCCACAATTACCCACTTGTCTTTTTAACTGCCCTGTGAGCTGGCTGACTCACCTCCAATTCACTCCCACTATCCACTCCAGATGGCCTTTGGTGTCTTTTTGTTTCCAAGCTCCCCCCACTTGACTATTATCTCTCTCTGCATCACAAGCCACTGTCTGGTCACCCAGGCCAAGGCTCCTACAAGAAGTCCTGATCTTACTCCTTGCCTATGCTTGGAGCCTGTAAGGCAGGAAGCAGCTCCTGTTGGTCTGGGCATTTTGCCTAGCTCCTCAAGGAAGCTCAGGAGGCTGTGGCCACATTCAGCCTCTGCTCCCAGACAGACTCCACAAAAGGAGCAAGGAAAATGACAGCTTCTTTGGAGCTGGCCCACTGCCAGGGCTCCTGTCCATGGTCTCCGTCAATGCCTCCCTGGTTCCCTACCTCAGTCCGGCCAAGGCTGGATACCAGGAAACTCATCACCAGTCCTGGAAGAGGACATCCCAATAGCTGCCAGCATTAGCTCTCTGGAAAGACACAAATCAAAAAAGGAGAAAAATCCCTCAGGACCTCCTGCTTCATTAGGCAGACTTCCCGGCAAGCAAAGAATTTCCAGCAAACTTTTTGATGGGTTACTATGTCAATGGTTCCTACCTTTTTTGTGTCACAGACACCTCGGAAAATCTAATGAAAGTTCTGGACCCTCTCCAGTGAGAAATGCTCATATCCGTTCATCCATTTATTTATGTAATCTTTCAGCAAATATTTATGGGGCACCTATGTGCCAGGCACTATTGCAGGGACTCAGAAACATCAGCGGACAAACAGAATTTCCTGCTCTCGTGGAGTTTATATTGTAACAGAGAAAAACAGGCAATAAAAAATGAATGTAATAAATAAGTAAAATACATAATTTGCTAGAAAACAAGTGCTGTGGGCCAGGCATGGTGGTGCACACCTGTAATCCCAGCACTTTGGGAGGCCGAGGCGGACAGATCACTTGAACCCAGGAGTTCGAGACCAGCCTGGACAACATGGCAAAAACCCATCTCTACAAAGAAAAAAAAAAATACGAAGAATTAGCCAGGCATGGTAGAATGTGCCTATAGTCCCAGCTACCTGGGAGGTTGAGGTAGGAGGATCACTTGAGCCCAGAAGGTTGAGGCCACAGTAAGCCATGATCACTCCACTGTACTCCAGCCTGGGCAACAGAGTGAGACCCTGTCTCGGTGAAGAGTGCTATGGAAAAAGGAGAATTACAACAGGGTAAGAGAGAGACCGGTGGGAATGATGTCACATTTTTAAACAGGATGTGTCAGGGAATCTTCACTGAGAAGTGAATGTGAGTAAAGACCCAAAGAACATAAGAGGTTTCATCATGTGATTAACTGGGGAAAGAGCACAGCAACAAGAGCATGAACAGCCTGAGGCCATGCCCAGCGTGAATGAAGATAAGCGAAAAGAGCAGAATGGCTGGACCTCGGGAAGTGGGAGGAAAGCTGCCTCAGTGAGAGAGATGAGGTCAGAGGGGCAGAGGTCGGGAGACACATACCACATAGGAATTTTACTGAGTTAAATCTAAAACCATGAGTGGACTTTATGAGCAAAGGGGAAATATGATCTAAGACTTTAGAATGTCTGTCTGAGGCTGCTACGGGAAGCAAAAGATTTAAATGTCAGAAAATGGTAGCCTGGGTCGGGTGCAGTGGCTCACACCTGTAATCCCAGCACTTTGGGAGGCTGAGGTGGGTGGACCACCAGGTCAGGAGTTCAAGACCAGCATGGCTGACATGGTGAAACCCCGTCTCTACTAAGAAATACAAAAATTAGCTGGGTGTGGTGGTGTGGGCCTGTAATCTCAGCTACTCGGGAGGCTGAGGCAGGAGAATCGCTTGAACCCCGGAGACAGAGGTTGCAGTGAGCCTGGATCACGTCACTGCACTCCAAACCTGGCGAGAGAGAAAAAAAAGAATAGAAAATGGTAGCCTGGGCCAGAGCGGTTGCAGTGGAGACCGCTGGAAGGTTGAGTCAAGAGCAGCTCTGCAATGGACGTGGCATGTGTAAGAAAGATGCACACGTAGAATTTCACACACAATTCAGCACTTTAGCAAACCCCTCTGTCCATCCATGGATGCAGGGTCCTTTATCAAATCACAAGGAAAGTGGTGGACCCTAGAAGGGAGAGGGAAGGGACTTCAGTGAGTGGACACGGGGAACCCTAGCTGTATCTACAAGTTTCACTTCTTTTAAATACATAATAAAAATACATTTAAATGAGTATGACAAAAGAGTAACAACTGGTAGTCTAAGTGGTGGATACATGATTGTTATACCATTTCTGTGTATTTCAAGAGATTCATCATTGAAAATGGAACTGCTTATCTCAAGATTTTCCAGATGCCTCCCGTTTGCTTTTTCAATGCATTGAGGGAGAATCAATACAATTGTGCTGGTCAGTCTGTCTGCAACATCTGGTCAGGTGCCTGGGGATGGGAACATTTCATTTCTCTGACTTACTTTCCTTCCCTTTCTTCCAGTGGCTCAGAGTCAAATGTGAGAGAAGACAGGACAAACACAAAAGCCACACTGTACCAAACACAGAGTCTAGAGGAGAAAGAGAGTGACGGTAACTGGGAAGACCTGGGAAGGTCTCCTGGCAGAGGCGGCCTTTAAGCAGAGTCCAGGAGAACCGGCCAACTGGGACACGCAGGGAGAGACAGCGGGTTCTGCTGGAGGCCACTGCTCTAACAAAGGCACAGTGGGGAGCAAGCTAGGGCCCCAGCACCCACTCCACAATGGCCCATTTTAAGGGGAACAGGCAGGGGATTTCTTTGTCTCTGCTACTGAATCAGAGACCAGACTAGATCTGAGGTGCTTTTCAGAAGCCTGAAGTCACCCCAGTGGGTTCAATGTGGTAGAAAAGCTTGGTTCTGGGCCTGCAGCAAGCTGTAACCTGCAGATGAGAATGACTTTGAGGCCCCCAGAGATTAGGGCTACGGAGGCAGGGCAGAGTCCCTTTGCAGACCTGAGTGAAGATCTCCCCAGGGGGCTCCCCAGCCAACTGAGCCACCTCAGGATCGGGCCCCTAGACAGCACATTTCTCACAATCTGAGCCTGGGGGAAGGTCCCCTGCTGCCCACATTTTGCAAAAACTTGCGCCATGTCACAGTTCTGATTAAGTGCCAAGAGAACTATTTCCCAGGCCACAGCTTTAACAAGGCCATGCTTCCTAATTACTAGTTTTCTCCTAATTAAATAAAAAAGGGGGGGAAGTAACCAGTGATTACCCCACCTTCTAATACCACCTTCCATTTATATGCGTCTCTCTTCAGAGAAGCTCAAAGCGCTTTGTATATTATTGTATATTTTCCCCTCATAACATCCTTGAGATTCCTAGGGGTGCTTATTATCATACCATTTTACAGCTGGGAAAAGAGGTGCTGGCTGAGGTTAAGCAAAGTGTCCAAGTGCCCTCACTAGCGATGATCAGCATTCTGAAGCTCTTTAAGAAACCCCTGTACATTTAGAAATAAAGTCATCTCCCGGGAGATAAACCAGGCTAAAGCAACACATACATAATAATTATTTATTGCAAACTTTACAATAGTAATTAACACTGTTTAATTCTCACAACAATCCTGTAAAACAGATACTATTACACTCATCTTACCGTGAGGACAATGAGATTCAGAGAGGTAAAGTTAGTTGCCTAGAGTTGCGTAATAATATTAGGTTAGCGCAAAAGTCATCGCGTTTTGGCATTACTTTCAATGGCAAAAACCATGATTACTTTTGCACCAACCTAATAATAGTTGTGACAATAGTAAAAGCAGAAACTAATATTTATTGAGCACTTGCCATGGGCCAGGCATTTTAGACTTTTTTGCTAACTCATTTAAGTTCTTACAACACCTTTTGAAGTAGGTATTAGTATTATCACCATTTTGCTGATGACAAGACTGAAGCACAGAAAAGTTAAGTAACTTGCCCAAGGTCACACAGCAAGTAAGTGGCAGAGCCCTACAGGAACCCACAAAGGGTCTCACCATACCAGTTTATCCGCCTGAAGAAATATTGTACTCTGAAGGTTGGCCTGGGGACACTCAGACAGTCAGGGTGATGCAGGGGTACCTCCAGGACACCCTGTGGGTGTATTTCCCTTTTTTTTTTTTTTTTTTTTTTTTTTTTGTGAGACAGAGTCTCGCTCTGTTGCCAGGCTGGAGTGCAGTGGCACAATCTCAGTTCACTGCAACCTCTGCCTTTCGGGTTCAAACGATTCTCCTGCCTCAGCCTCCCAAGTAGCTCGGACTACAGGCGTGTGCCACCCGGCCCAGCTAACTTTTGTATTTTTAGTGGAGACAGGGTTTCACCATGTCGGCCAGGATGGTCTCGATCTCTTGACCTCGTGATCCGCCCACCTCGGCTTCCCAAAGTGCTGGGATTACAGGCGTGAGCCACCACGCCCGGCCTGGGTGCATTTTCAGTACTCCTGCTGTGTGCTGTGTGGGTGGGTACTGAGTGGGCGACGGGAGGGACACCAAGCTTTTCCTGCCTGACTCAGGCAACTGTGCTGGGTACTCTTCGCTGACATAAAATGGCACTGTAGGAGCTGTTAGCTCAAAGGTAATGCAATCCAAGAGTAAGAATTAGCCAAGGGAGACATTCAGACCAGCGGGAAGCGAACCTGGTGTGGCGCGTGTTTGGGGGAGGGTACACATCTTGCTCTTCCATATGCCAGAGAACGGAGCTCTCAAACCATCCTAGAACTTTGGTCTTCACTGCTCTCTCCCCAGAAGCATCCTCTAAGGACTCATTCTGTGCTCATACCTCCATCCGGGGGAACAAACTAGAAAGGGACAAATTCTGACTCCTTGCCAGTCTAGCCAAACTTGTTCATCAACAGATTGGCCTACTGGATGCAGACTTCACCGTTTCGGGACAGGAGTTCCCCCAAGTGCCTGGCATACTTCCTAGGGGCATCGAAGGCAAGACCTGGCCCCTGCCTCAGCCCTGGTGCCATGGGTCCCTCTCTTTCTCACACCTCTCTCCTCTCTCTTCAGACCCACCCTGGGAGCCAACCGCCTGCCATCAGCATCTCCTGTCCCTGCTTGCCCTGTCCCTTTCCAACAGGCAATAGATCAGATTGCCAGGGAGCCCCTCCTGAGAATGGCAGCATGAGAATTAACAAGCTGCCAGCACGTGTCCAAAATGGGCAGCAGGTACTTAGTTCCTGGTGAGTGCTGGGTGTGCCACCCCGGGGTCCCAGCACTTTCTGACCAAAACAGAGCATTTAAGAATGTCCTGGCTGGGCGCGATGGCTCATGCCTGTATCCCAGCACTTCGGGAGGCCGAGGCGGGCAGATCACCTGAGGTTGGGAGTTTGAGACCAGCCTCACCAACATGGAGAAACCCTGTCTCTACTAAAAATACAAAAAAAATTAGCCGAGCGTGGTGGTGCATGTCTGTAATCCCAGCTACTGGGGAGGCTGAGGCAGGAGAATCACTTGAACCGGGGAGGCAGAGGTTGTGGTGAGCCAAGATCGCGCCACTGCACTCCAGCCTGGGCAACAAGAGCAAAACTCCATCTCAAAAAAAAAAAAGAGAGAGAGAGAGAGAGAAAGAAAAAAGAAAGTCCTCACCTGCCATGTCTGACTTCCAAATTTCCCAGCGTTTTCTTCTCCACTTTGTTGAGATTTGTTGCTTGCAATGGTTAGGAGCACTGACTCTGGAGTAAGACCGCCTAAATGTAAACCCAGCCCAACCATGTGCAAGCTGTGTGATTCTGAAGAAGTTATTAAACCTCTCCTGGCCTTCTTTGGTGCCTGTAAAGCAGAAATAATAATTCCTATGTCATACAATTGTGATAATTAAATGAGTTATTACATTTAAGTGATTAGAACCGTGCTTAGCACAGAGGAAGCACTCAAAAGTTAACTACTATTAGTGATGTCTAAACTTTTTTCCCCGGGGAAGGATCAATTCACTTGCTGGAGTCAAGTTCAACTTTGCACTCCAGTCCTTCAGGCAGGTAGAGGCAACTGAATCACGTGAAAACTGTTACCGCTTTGGAGGAGGGAGGAACATCAGGAAGAAGATTTAGCCCTTAGAGATGTAAGGGCTTAAAGAGTCTCAGTCCCTGTTGACCACATAACATCTGCAAAAAGGAAAAAAGAAGGAAAGCGCGCTGAAGGACCCATCCCGGGAGGAGGATGAGCCACGCTCCCTCCAGCCTCCCCAGAGGTGCATTCCTTAGATTCCCGCCCCGGCCCCAGCCCCAGCATCAGCTCGGGTTCCTCTGCAGACGCTCAGCCCCTTCGGAAATGTAAAACCCGGGAAGCGAAAGCCGCGGCGACCTCCGAGAGCCTCTCAGGCACGCGGCCTCTCTCCCCACCGGCAGCGCCTGGAAATACCACAGGCCTAGCCAAAGATGGAGCTGTTTTGTTGGGAGCTCGGGTTTCCCCCGCCGCGAGGCTGAGCCGGTGGCGCAGCTGCTCAAAGGTCACGCCCGAGACACGTCCGCACAAGCCCCGGTGGCGGGGCGGGCAGCGGGGAGAGAAGGTGGGGAGTGGGCGGGGGGCGGGGGCAGGGGGAGGGGCGCCACCTTCTCCAGGGCCCTGCGGAGCCGCCTCCCGTCTTCATCTCGCAAGCATCCAACGCGGGGAGGTGGCTGTCCTCTCCCTACTAGGATTTTATTTTTGCAAAACAAAAGGGATGCCAAAAAAGAAAAGGCTCCTAAATGAAAAGAAAATGCTTCTTTAAAAATGCTAATTGTGAGCTTTTTATTATTGTTTTGGAATTTCAACTGATGGCTGAAAGAGAAAATCTAAATTTGGCCACAGGAAACCTGGAGCCAGTTAACCTTGAGAAGTTAGTCTTCATTTTCTATTAAGTAAAATATTTGGGTTTGAATGCTTAGAGCCCTCTGCTTATAAAAATAGAGGCACTGAACAGTTTAACCACCTGTGTTTTCCTTGGATCGCATATTTTCCACAGTAAACAAGAAAACACAGATTGGAAATCCATTCATTCCTTCATAAGATGAGCTTCAGTTGGGGTTTATTTGTGTTTTCAATCAATGGAAACCAAAAACAGCCTTTGCAGGGTTATGATATTTCGTGCAAAGAAGCTCCAAGAAGCTCTTTTTATCCCCTCTGCAGCTATTTCTACATAAATCCCAAGATTTTTTGTTAATGCAGTTAATAATTATAATCCCGTTTGGTTTTCCAAGCACATACTACATGCTTTACCTGCTGTCATCTCATTTGTGATAACACTTGGGGAGTAGTTATTCTTAATTCTTATTTGCCAGATAAGAAGACAGGCTTAGAAAAAATAAGCAGTAGCTAATAAGAGACACAGCCTTTACATCTGAGAGCTACAAAGCTGTGCTGATAACACCACCATAAACCATTTCCACTGTTTAAATATTACTAAATAAATAGATGGTTAGATACATAGACAGGAGTTGTTCTTTCAGTTCTCAAGGTTGCTCTTTAGGGGAGAGGCATACAGTGAAAAGTACTTTCTGGCCAGGATAATACTATATAGCATCACTAAGCCTCTGAGCCTCAGTTTCCCTCCTCCAAAATGAGACATATATTTAAGGCATATATCCAGCTCTGATATCCAGAGACTGACTCTAAATGAAAAGCTTAGGCTCAGGCTGGGCGTGGTGGCTCATGCCTGTAATCCCAGCACTCTGGAAGGCCAAGGCAGGTGGATCATCTGAGGTCAGGAATTTGAGACCAGCCTGGCCAACATGGTGAAAACCCGTTTCTACTAAAAATACAAAAATTAGCTGGGCATAGTGGCGGGCGCCTATAATCCCAGCTACTCAGGAGGCTGAGGTGGGAGAATCGCTTGAACCTGGGAGGCAGAGGTTGCAGTGAGCCGAGATCGCACCATTGCACTCCAGCCTAGGTGACAAGAGCAAAACTCCATCTAACAAAAAAAAAAATGCTTAGGCTCTTTGGCCTGTCACTGGCATGGCATAGTATTAATCACCCCTTTCCTGACTCCCTGGTTCCATTCATCTAATTCTGTGGTTCTCAACATTAAAATCTCCTGGAGGAGCTTTTAAAAATACAGATGCCCAGGCCTCACAGCCAGAGATTGTGCTTTAATTGGCTTGAAGTATGGCCCAGGCCTCAGTATTTTTCAAAAGCTCCCCAGGTGGATGCATAGCCAGGGCTGAATATTGACCTAACCTAGTGAACGACTCCAATTTCATCCACCCCAGTTGTGCTTTTATAAATGTAGTTACCATAACTGGAATTCCTTTTAATAAAATCCAGTAAGACTAGCGCTACCAGAGTCAATCTCAAAACAGATGTGAGCTTTCACTTATTTAATTGTATATTTTGTTTAAATAAGTTAAGGTGTCTCACCAAAGCTTCGAAATGCTGTAAGAAAGAGCGTGGTGGGTGTGTGTGTGTGTTGCTGCTGATCCTTTCCTAAGGGACAGAGACAGAATAGTACTATAATAACCAGAAGGTTCTAGGTCAATCTGATCCAATAATTGATTGGCCAAGTGAAAGAAATCACATGAAATATTTACTTAACCCAGGGATAATACCCGTTCTTTGGAACTAGCTTGTGTTAGACCTAGCCTAAGAGACTGATCTGAGCTGGAGGTGGTGGAAGTATGAAAGTCAGGATAAGAGGTCAGGCCGGAGCCATTTGAATCCCCAATGGCTCTAGGCTATTTTGTGTACGATTAGTCTCTCATGTTGGCATCTATGAGAGATGTCAGACTTTCCAAGGCACTCCATCTAAATGTGATCCAATGACATCAGTACTCAGGGAAAGCCCACTCTTATCAATCAAAAAAGATTTAGTTTTCCTTTATAGAAGGATCTACTGATTTCTTGATATACAGAAGAAATCTACAGTTTGTTTTGTAAGTAAATGCCTATAATATTTTAAATATTCATTAAACTTGAGCTTCTGCTTTGCTAGTTTGCATGAACCTACGAGACCCATCTCCCCACTACCACATCATGCACACACATGCCTCACATACACACTGCACTGAAGTCTTGGGTTTTACATATGCATATACATGTACTCATACACACACACCCACACACACAGTGTCATGTGGTGCATAACACCGTTTCAGTCAACGATGAACTTCATATATGATGACAGTCCCATAAGATTGTAACACCATATTTTTAGTGTACCTTTTCTATGTTTACATATGTTAAGATACACAAATACTTACCATTGAGTTATAAGTGTCTGTAGCATTCAGTAGATGACATGCTGTACAAGTTTGTGGCCTGGGAGCAATAGGCTATACCATATAGCCTAGGTGTGTAGTAGGCCATACCATCTAGGTATGTGTAAGTGCCCTCTACGGTGTGTTCACACAACAATGAAATCACCTAACAACACATTTCCCCAGGATGTATCCCCATCCTTAAGTGGTACATGACCATGTATATAAATGGAAGCGAGTATGTAGTTTCACTCAACCTCTGGTGACATGTTTAAGGTGGATGAAACGCCACCTTTGGTGTTAGTTGACACTGTGGTCAGAACAGTGATTTCTCCAAACATCTTTGGTATGGACTGATATTCAAACAGGTCAAGCAACACTGGGGACCTTTGGCCTTTACCTGTTACTCATAAATAATTTCAACCATACAAAACAGACAAAAGATTCTACTTAATGACTTAATGTAAAAATGCATGAAATTGCTTGCATGTTAAACTGCTGCGTTTCCCCTTGGCCATAGAAAGATTAACATTTCTGTTTGGGGAATGGTTTTGATCTTGCCTTCCAGCCACAGTATTTACATTCCAGTAAAGTTCATCTGGATTAGTTAATATTCACATGAATGAATATGCAGCCCCACATCATGTTCTTAAATAAAATTAACATCCAAAGAAGGCGGGGGGACTTATTCTAATAAACTAAAGATGAAAATCACAGAAAGATGCAGAAATACTCTCTAATGTAAATGTCCATGATAAACTCTGGGCCAAAAAAAAAATCATCTGAGGACTAAACCAAGACAGGAATATACTGATGAAAGTGTGCCTAAAGGAAGAAACAGGGAAACCATCTTGTCAACCCAAATACATTGCCCTGCATAGATCAAAGATGGGTCTGTGCTTTAAAAAATTAAATTAAAAAAAAATCAGCCTAGATAAGAGAAAGGACTCTTTAGTATCAGGGAAGTTGTCATTTCTTGTGTGAAATACAGGTATCAGATCACAAATGCCGGCTTGAAAAAAGGAGCTAATGGTATAGTTTCCAGAGCAGGAAGTGTTTTCTGTCCCCACCCCCTCGCCTTTCTCTTTTCTATAACGATATGTAGTCTGAGTTTGAGGGGAGAAGTAACCTAATGAAAATGTTTTTGCTAATTTCTAAGGCATTAGAAAATTTCTGTCTAATCCGATAAACATGTACTGAGTGCTTTCTACGTACCAGGCAGTCACCGGACTAAGCATAAAGGTTCCAAGATGGGTGAGACCCAGTGACCTTCCTCAAGAAGCCCCAGCGGGGGATATAGCTTATACTGAAGATTCATCTGAGGTATTAGTGCAACCAGTTTCACAGCTGATAAATTCAGTTGCTCACAACCTGAGGCTGGGGGGTGGGAGGGAATGAGCAAGAGGTTTGGCAGTCACTTGAACATGCCACCAGCTTTGAACTCTAGCCAATTTTTATGGCTAACGTTAGAAATTAACCCAATATGATCATCATTTCAAATCCAACAAAAGGTTCCTCAGAGCCAGCCCTGGGCAAGGATTCATGGGAGGTGCTACGGAGGGTGGAGAGATGAATAAATGAGGGTCCCCCCTACTCCAGAGTTTCCAATCAAGTTTCCAGATAAGAAGGAAACCCAATAAGTAATGTCAAGGACATCCCATCGCATATGGCAGGGAAAGATGTAATTGGTTCTCTCCAAGAGAAACTACGGTGTGGAAGAATAATGGTTTTGAAACGGTGTGGAAGAATAATGCCTTAAAAGCACAGTAGGTCAAAATGCCAGAATGACAAATTAGCTTTGCTAACCACTTGGTGAATGGCCTTTTTTTTCAGCACCTTGAGCTGATTAAGAAGTATATATTAACTGATGAGTTTCTCTTTTCCAACACAGATATTAACCCTCTGCAGAGAGGTTTTTAGAAGCTATCAATTTGTAACTTAGGCTTTTCAGGGAAAGCGAAATACTGGTACATTTGAATTCCAAAGAGGGATGCTGGTAAAATCCCCAACCACCACCTCTAGGCAAGAATTGGAGCAAAAAGCATCATTTGAAGGAAATGTTACTTAATTCCTTGCTTTTTATTATTATAACTGCCCATGTCCACTCCTTCAGCTATTTCCTCAAGTCTTCCCCAAACACCCAGGCTTGGATAGCTGTTTCTGCACCTACATTCTTCCAGGTCCCTAAGCTGTATCCCTGGTTCTCACATCCCAGTCAGTACTGTTTCAGGCTCTTCTTTGATTGGGTCACGGTTGTAATTGTGGCCTTCCGAAATAATCTGGGAAACCCTGACACAAAAGGTCACATCTGTCCCTCTGACCCCCAC